GCCAAGCCCCTTCCTTTCCCCCTAGTTTGCAGATTATGCACGTAACTCCCTCCCCACCTGCAAACTGGTGTTGCCACATCTTAATAAACAGGCAGCCTAAAAGCCAAGAAGAATATACTACTGGAACTTGAAAGCCATGGCACTTCTAGTCCTGCGCTTTATGACACATCTGGAGTTCCCCAAGCCCTCATTTTTAGGTGTACCTTCACATAATGTCAAGCTGTATTTGAACATGTCTCAGTTCCCCCCTGCCCTTGGATTATGTAGATTTTTTTCTAACTGGAAAAAAAAAATCTAATGAGTACAGTAAAAACTAGTATAGGTGTGAAAGGTAGCAGTTCCAAAAAACAGCTGAAAGTGAAATTATTCAGTCTCTGTAGATTGTGCCTTTCTGACATCTTTGATGACGCTTCCTTTTCCCCATTTTGGTACATCCCAGCACACCTGTGCTATTTTGTTTCTAGAAGCAGTCATAGCAAGTTGCTGTTTCCTTTCAAACGACAAGAACAATTTTATTATTTGTATGCTGCCATCTGACTGGGCTGCCCCAGCCACTCTGGGCGGCTCCCAACAAATGTTAAAAACACAATAAAACCTCAAACATAAAAAATTCCCTGCACCTTCAGGCTGCCTTCAGATGTCTTCTAAAAGTCATATAGTTGTTTATCTGTTTGACACCTGACGGGAGGACATTCCACAGGGTGGGTGCCACTACTGAGAAGGCCCTCTGCTTGATTTCCTGTAACTTCAGATCTTGCAATAAGGGAACCACCAGAAGGCCCTCAGAACTGGACTTCAGTGTCTGGGCTGAATAAGGGTGGAAATGTTCTTTCAGGTGAAGCCATTTGCTGCCAAAAAGAGCTTCATGGTGACAGCAAAAGATACTCATTCTCCTTGCTCTGCACACCTGACCTTCATACAGCAAATGTGTATGAGTACCTTCAGGAAAATGCTACTGATACAGTTGAACTGTATTTTGTTTCCTTTTATATATAATTTGTTGCAAGTCTTGTATTCCAATGAGAAACCCAGTGTGCACATGGGACTGTTCTAATTGCTGGTACTAGAAGAGCTGATAGATAAGATTATAAAATTGATTTTTATTAGTTGTACTTATGGCCTGCTCTTCAGCAAATGATTCTAGGGTAGGTTACAGTAACATCACAATTCAACTAAGTACAACATACAATTAAAATCATAAAACAAAACCACAGTGTGTGAGTGCTAAATCTCTTTTAATCCCATTAAATGCTAAGATGCATTTATCATTGCATTGCTTTATGATGTAATTTGTTTCTTTGTGAAAGTTTGAAAGTGCCTTTTTGCATACGTGAAATGTCCTTTCAAGTTAGAATAAGAGCATAAGAGAAGCACCGCTGGATCTAGTCTATGACTCTGTTTTCACAAAAGCCAACCAGATGTCAGGTCCTATTGATTTGCTTCCAATGTGGTGTGTTTAGGAACACAGTTATGAGCTATCAGCTGAAAGACTTCAGCACTTCATAGAAAACACATCTTAACTCCACTTGTAGACAGGCAATGATATGAGGAGCCTGGAGGAGAGCTGAAGTCTCCTCAGAAATGGAAAAAACATTGAGCAACAGCTAAATTTGGGTAAAATATTTCCAAGCAAAAGAGGAAATGAGTCAAAAAATACACCGAACAAATAATAGACGCAAGTAAAGAGAATGGAGATGAGTATCCTTAGCCCTGTCTTAAAAATTGTGATTATTTCTCCAATGTCTGTTATTTTCTAGTTAGCAAAATTGTATTTGGCCTACTGCACTTTATTCTTCATTGGTGGTTCATAAACTACCTTTAGTATGACATTGCAGCTGAGATGCTAACTGGGACCAGGCCTATGGCTTCTGGCCTGTTTCCAAGCTCAATTTAAGATGTTGGTTTTAACTTTCCAAGCCTTACTTACTTACCTCTTGCCTCACAAACCTGCTTAGGTCCTAAGATCCTTACCAGAAGCCCTTTTGTGGTCCCTCCTGCCATCTGAGATGACGCAGGTGCTGACCATGAATAGGACCTGTTCTGGAATATACTATGAAGTGACGACTTGGTTGTTTTTTTTAAATATCTTGATCAATGTTATCTCTGTTGCTTGTCTTTCCTCCTTTTACCATAGGCATTGTAATGTTTACATTTTGATTTTGATTTTATTTTTTATACAAGAAATGCTTTGGAAAATAGGTGCACAGGGAACCTCCATGGATACAAGAGGCTTCCCTATGCAGATGTTCACCCAAAACATGATAGGAGCCAGGATGGCTTTCTGGGCACAGATAAATATGCAGCTTCAAAGTCCCTCAAACCCATCTTCTTCCTTTATTGAGTAACACCTACTAGGGCTTCTGAAACATAAAATAGTCTATTATTCAGCAGAATGAGGGAGGAATAAGGTGACAGAATGGACTGTACCATTTTAAATTACAGCTGAAACAACACAACTTTTGAATGTGTCTCCATGTTGAAAAAAGAGACACACACAAAACCTCTCTGCAAATAGAAAAGGTTACACATCCGGAGGAAAAGTCCCAGCCCAGTTCTTTGCTGAGGTGCTGGCTTTCTTCTTGCAACCAGTTTTTAACATAAGGAAGATGAAAAATCTAATTCTCCAATAGTGCTCAAATGGTCTCGTTCATTCTGCCACCACAAAACATGACACCACGCTATATATTTTAAACACATTCAATGCACATTTAAAGTGCATGGCTTCCCCCAAATGATCATGGGAACAAGGTTCTGAGAACTGTAGGTCTACAAGTGGGAAACTGCAGCTCCCAGAATCCTCTGTGGAGAGGAAGCATGTGCTTTAAAAGTGCATTGAATGTGCTTCAAACATATGGTGTGAATGCCCTTCTCCCACTTGGACCTTTATGTTTCCTAAATAGACTCCCTGCATAACCCCCAGCTGTTCAATAGGCTCACTTCTTTGTTTATTTTTTATCATTATATATTCAATTTATATGCCACCCTTCCTTCTGAAGGAGCCCCACCCCACCCAATGAGGGCCAGTCTTGCCATGAGGCAAGGTGAAAGGGACCACCTTTTCCTTTTCTGCTTCAGCCAACACTTTCAGGGAAATTGTCCCTTACTATCCCAGACTTTGTTACCCTTTTACACTCTACAAATTCCATAGGAGCAATCCAGCCAAATTCCATCCCTTGCCTAACTTTTCCATAAAAATCAATGAGGCTTAAAGGTGTTCACCTTTGGCCGGTCCATAACTGTGTTGTAGTTCATCACATTTTTATTGTTTCCAAGCTGCCCTGTCATTTGTTTGAACTTTTGCATCATGTGCACATGTTCCTTTTTTAAAAAAAGAAAAATCTGTATAGAAGATTTACAGTGTGCGTGCTGAAACCTGAGGCGAAGTCTGTGTATTCCAGTAGCCCATTAAATCCCTGAGCAACGAACATTCCAGTGTACATAGCTCATATATGCTCCACTTTCTAATTCCTAGTAGTCTCAAGAAAAAGTGAGGAAAATACCACAGTCAAAATATAACCTATTAAAACAGATCCCAAACATGCGCCTGAAAGTCCAAAGACACGGAAGTCGAAGGAGCGGCAAGGAGTACTGATTCACCACCGAGAAAAAGAAAGAAGGTCCATCAAAAGAACATTTCTTGCTGGGTTTTAAATAACAAAATGTTGAGGATAAACATCAAACCAAATGACATCCCTGCTTTAAAAGGTGCATTTGTAGGAAGACAAGTAATTATAACATACAGCTTTGTGCATGTCCTTTCAGAGAAGGGCAAAACCAACTGATGATTAAATAGAGGATTGGATTTTTGGGCCAGCCACTTTCTTTCAGTCTATCCTACCTCTTGAGAAGATGACAATGTACTCTGTCCTGAGTGCCTTGCAAGAAATGAATGAACAAAGACATTCATTTGATCATCCACTTGACTATTGCACAGGAGATGTATGGTCTGTGGCATATCATTCGTTTGACCATCGTTTTTGACATGAACTCCTTACAGATAATGTACTTAGTGTCTTGACTCAATGCTACAAACTGGAACCTTCAGGTCCTTACTAGTTCTTAGAGTTTGTGAAATCAAAGTCTGTCCGTACAAGCTTCAGCTGCTTTTATATTGGTCAGAAGTAGATCATGCTACATTTTATATCTAAACCATTCTCTTAGCTCTCTGAAGTAGAGATAGAGGACTTCATATAAGCTGATCTGAAGTTTCTGGAAGAAGAGTGAGATATCACCATAGCAAGGAAACATTGGTCCCATCAGGCTGCAAGAAAGTGGGACTGCAAGGGTCTCAAATGGTTCTGTTGAAAAACCAGCAACTTGTCACTTTTCTCTGATTATTTTCCCCTGCTCTTCACTACAAGGTCTCTGTAATTAAGAAGCAGTTCCTGAATTTCATTTCTCTCTCTCTCTCTCCATACTCCCCTCTCCCCAGTCCATTTTCATCTTGATTTCTATGCAGGGAGGCTAGGCAACACTGGCTATTTAATGAGCATTTGTTCTGATTTGTCCACAGGGAGATTAAACAATGTTGTGCCAAAGCAAGTCCCAGTGCATTTTCTCCATCATGTTCCTTATCACACGAAGTCTGTCTTTTGAGAGTTTGCTGTGCAAGACCTCCCAGTCAGATAGAATTGCGTAACTTGACTTTACTGGTATGTGATTGAATCTCACCCAAAATTAGAGACAGTCTGAAAGTGGCCTTAGATTTCAAGTCTGAGAATAGGAGCTATCTCCTTGCTGATATTTGTAGCCCACTCTGAGTATCTTCTCTGCTTGAAGAGAGGTGTGTGTGTTTATGTGCTAATGTTAATAATGATAGTTAATAATAATAATTCTGGACCAGTTGTGACACCATTAGGAATGGAACCCCTTTGAACTGATCACAAATACGAATCACTGTAAAGCTATGATTCAAATAGTACGATTCTGCTTTGGTCAGACCACACCTGGAGTACTATGTCCAGTTCTGGACACCACAATTTAAGAAGGATGTTGGTAAGCTGGCATGCATAGCTCACTTGGTAGAGCATGAGACTCTTAATCTGAGGGACATGGGTTTGAGCCCCACATTGGCTGGAAGATTCCTGCATTGTAGGGGGTTGGACTAGATGACCCTCAGGTTCTCTTCTACTCTATATTCTATGATTCTATGATTGATTCTAAATCTTCCCTGACTCTTCAGCCCATGCAAATAAAGCTTGCCTGGTCTCTCCCCCCTCCCTTTGTTCTACAATTTAAATGTGTGGGTTTTTTGTGGGGTTTTTAAACACTCTCCCTTTAAGTTTTGTTTATTATTTTTTCTTGTCGTCATAGTAATTAGTATTTCCATCTTTCAGGCTTTTCTTCTGCCTCTCTCCCCCTTTACATTATTCCACCAACGCATGTTCCAGACTAGGGATTCCAGCTATTTTCTGCCAAGGGGAAATTTAGGTGAAAAGTATCAAATACTGTAAAACAAAGTTTGTGGCTGGGATTTAGGTCGTTGTGTCTAGCTTGGAACAATGGCATGAAATCAAGAGAAAGAAACATGGAACAAAGGGTAAGGGAAGCTTTGGAAGTTCCAGAAATGCCTTTGAGACTCTCATGTCATTGATCTGAACTGGATGCTCTTGTCAAGAAAAAGAATAAAAACAGGAACTGTCATGTACCGGCCACAATGAGAAAAGCCAAAACATTTCCACATCCAGAGACTTTCCCATTTGGCTCATGCCCCAGAAAATGCTCTATTATTCTTCAAAACATTAGTCCAGACAGCAAAATATGAGTCCAGATGTCCTTACACTCCACTAGAAGCAAGGTCTTCTTGATCAGTTGCCTAGGCTTTATGGAATCACCACACAGACTTTAACGTGTTTTGAAAGAGAGTTTTATTAGTTTCATTGATTGAATCAGCAAAACACACAATAGATTTTTCTCCCTTTGGCTGCTTTGATAGAGATGGTATCTGGTGTCTTGGCTCCCACTCGTAGACGCAGTACTCAGACTCTCAGCTTGATTATCGCTGAAGGTTTTATTTGAAAAATCACTACATGGCTTAATATAGATCAGGTATATGTAGGTTAGACGATCAGTGGTTCAAAGCAAAGCTCTAAGGTGCATGGCTAAGCACAAGCTACAACATTTTGAGACGTTGTCTCAACACCTGACATAAACCCTTTGCCCTCCATTTGAGGGTGGCCACAGTCGTGTGCCAATTTCATCTCAGTTCCAATTGTTTACCAGCTGCTTTCCTCCCCTAACCACTACAGTTCATTTTAATTTTTGTAAGCCGCCTTGAGTCCTGACTCTGGGGGAAATCTGGGGTGTAAGCTAATGTGCATTTAACTCACACATTTTTTAAATGCAAACATCAGCTGCTGTGGAAGGGAGGACTGATAATGTGTACCCAAAGACACATTCAATGTCATGCCTAAGTTGTCCTTGATCAGCGCTAAACAAGTAGTGCAGACAAGCCCTCTGGGGAGAGCCAACCATCTGAATTTGTTTTTGTGCTCAGGCTCAAGTGGTTTGATATACTTGGGAGCATGGGCGTAGCCAAAGGGGGGGGCAAGTGGGGCAGCTGCCCCCCCCCATCAAGTAAGACAATAAAAATGCTTAACTAACTGACCAATCAAATTGGTTCTGCCCCCCCCCAAGTCCTTCCCCTGTAACAAAAATCCTGGCTACGCCCATGTGTGGGAGAAGAATGAAATTTATCCATTGGGTAGCTTGTCACTTTCCCCTATTGCATTGCCCACACACAAATGTGTGTGTGTTCAGCCTTTGATCCTACTGACCATAAAATGCTGTGACAAGACTTCAGCATATGGCAGGTATTAGAAAGTCCAGGCTTCCTAGACTTTGGTCTGATCATTATGAGTTGCAAAGTGATCCTAGAAACTGACAAGTGCCATCTTCCTATTAGGGGGAAAGACATTGCCAACCTGCACATGACAGAATATAAAGGTGTAGCCTGAGTTATGGTGGCAGGCACAGTATTTCCAAAGGAAGTCTGACCTTTCTCTAAACTATCTGGGGATATGGCTAAAGTAGCTTTCAGGCTATCAGTTTTATGAAATACATTTTAGGGTTGTTTGGAAAATTGATTCTCTTTCTGGACTGTGTTTCAGAAATGTCACAGCCCTAATTATATCTCACTGCAGGCTCTGGAAATGTTTTTGTTTTCATTTAGTTTTCACCCCTCTGTTCTGTTTGCAAACCCTTCGTTATCATTAGCTGCTATTTGGTCATGTGCTGCTGCCGCTGCCAAACTAGATTGCTGGAATTCTCTTATAAAGGCAGAGAAACATCTAATATACTTATTTGGAAAAGCAGAACATCTACAGTAAAACTAATGAAAACAAGAAAGATAAGGCTGCGTCCAGTGAGATAAAGCACACGCAGAAGGAGAAAATCCCAAAACAGGTGTTTTGTTTCTTGGGCTTATATTCCACACTCCCTAGCTCTGCTCTGACTGCCTCCGTGGTTGGAGACAGTAATGTTTCTAAATACCAGCTGCTAGAAATGGCAGGAGGAAAGAGGGCTCTTGCGCTCAGATTCTGCTTGCATGTTTCCCACAGGCATCTGGTTGGATACTGGACTAGGTGGCCCATGGGCCTGATCCTTCAGGGGCTGTTCTTATGTTCTTATCGTGTTCTCACAGTGGCCAACCAGATGTCTGTGTGAAACCCGCAAGCAGGCACTCTCCACTCCTGCCATTTCCAGCAACTGGTATTCAGAACCAATACTGCCTCCAGCCATCGAGGCTGAGCATAACCATCCTAGTCTGAAGCTAATAATAATAATAATAATAATAATAATAATACCTTTATTGTCAATGTGCAACCAGTGTACAATGAAATTAACTGAGCCTCCCCACCACCCCCCAAACACTCAATCTCATTGCATTCTGTGTGCTTGTTGCACAGCACACCAACCCCAAAAGTCAGTTGCACTACAGTGGTACCTCAGGTTACAAATGCTTCGGGTTACAAATGCTTCAGGTTACAGACTGCGCTAACCCAGAAGTAGTACCTTGGGTTAAGAACTTTACCTCAGGATGAGAACAGAAATCGTGCAGCTGCAGCAGTGTGGCGGCAGCGGGAGGCCCCATTAGCTAAAGTGGTACCTCAGGTTAAGAACAGTTTCAGGTTCAGAATGGACCTCTGGAATGAATTACCGGTAAGTTCTTAACCTGAGGTACCACTGTATATTATTTTCTGTTCAGCAGCCTAACAGCCCACGGATAGAAACTGTTTTTTAGCCTGTTGGTACAACTGATTATACTTCTATATCTCCTGCCCGAGGGTAGAAGATTAAAGAGGTGCTGGCTGGGGTCTGAATCGTCCCTGAGAATTTTTCTCACTCTCCTAAGGCAACGATCCCTTGCGATGTCATCTAGCAGGCTCAGGGGACAGCCCATGATATCATGTGCTGTGTTCACCACCCTCTGTAAAGACTTTCTGTCTGTGGCTGTCAAGCCAACGTACCACACTGTGACACCATATGAGAGGACACTTCCTATGGTGGACCGGTAGAAGGAGGTCTTCACTAAGGTAAACTCCCAGGAATTTAAAGGCAGAGACTCTCTCCACACCCCACACACCCCGATATATAATGGGGCTAGTTCCACTCTCTTCCTCTGAAAGTCCAACACCAACTCCTTTGTCTTGCTAATATTTAGGTGCAAGTTATTCTCTAAGCACCATGTAGATACTTTTTGAACCTCCCCCTTGTACTCTTGATAGCCTTAGCCTCCCTGAATTTGTCTAATCCTCATTTAAAGCCATCAAAGTCAGTGACCATCACTGCTTCTTGTGGGAGTGAGTTTCATAGTTTAAATATACACTTCCTTTTCTCGGTTCTGAATCTTCCAATAGTCAGTTTCATTGGATGTCTACGCCTTTCAGAGTTATGAGAGAGGGAGCAGAACTTTCCTCTGTACATTTGCTCCACAGCATGTGTCATTTTATAAACTTCCATCATGCCACCTCTTGCTTCCCTTTCCTGTAAACTAAACAAATCCCTTCACTACACTGAAAAGGAAAAAACAAATGACTCCATCAAGTAATGTTTAAATAAAATCCATCTAGATCTCCCAAGACATAAAGTCTCTAGCTACTAGAAAATATTTTCAACCATACCCAGGGGAAGTAATGGTGTGTGTTGTAGGCTAACAAGCAGCATGTCCAGGAGCTAATGAAAACTGAATACTCAAGAAATATGCCATGTAGCCTACCATGGGATTACAGACTCATGAAGGACAGAAACCCATATATTTCTGGGGAAAACTGAATAATGGCCTGCAGTAAAAACAGGAAAGGACTTCATTCAGCGATAGAAAATGTCCTCTGGATCTCTGCTACATTTTATGGGTGCCACGAATAGTAAGAGAGGAAAGTGTTGAATAGAGGGAAATGGTGGTGACTTTCACTTTGCCGCCATCTGCCAAAGAGTCAATCCAAAGCGTTTTGCCTCATCAGCAGCACACATGTTTGACAGGAAAATGAGAACCATGGTTGCATGCCCTCACTCTTCCCTATGGATGCATAGAACTCCATTGGATTGTGACCGCAGAAGTCAAATGCAATGGGTGAGTTTTAATTTGGAAAAATGCCACATACAGTGGTACCTCAAGTTAAGAACTTAATTCGTTCCGGAGGTCTGTTCTTAACCTGAAACTGTTCTTAACCTGAAGCACCACTTTAGCTAATGGGGCCTCCCGCTGCCGCTGCACTGCCGCTGCACGATTTCTGTTCTCATCGTGAAGCAAAGTTCTTAACCCGAGGTACTATTTCTGGGTTAGCGGAGTCTGTAACCTGAAGCGTCTGTAACCTGAAGCGTATGTAACCCGAGGTACCACTGTAGTGGCTTTAGAATAAGAAGATAAGATGGTTGGGTTGAGTTAATAAGGCTGACTTAACTCGGGAGCAACCTCCATTGTAAACAGTGGGACTCGCTTTCATGTCAACGTGTATAGGGTTGCATTTTTAATGTATGTGAAGCACCCTAAGCTTCCAAAAATTCTAACTAAATGCTAAGTATTGTGTTATCAGTTCCTGCTCTATCTTTCTCTCGATTATATTTCTATGTCCTCCTG